GGTGTGTGAGTATGTACACGTGTGTGAACACATGTGTGCACTGTGCACAGAAGTGTGCACACATGTGTGAGGGTGTGCACATGTGCATAGGGGTGTGAGTGTGTGCATATGTGTGCGTGCACATGTGGGAGTGTGTGTGCACATGTGCATAGGGGTGTGTGAGTGAGAGTGCCTGCAGCTGGTCAGAGGATCAAGAACAGAAGGGGGCCTTGGGTCGCCAGCCCTGGGGGCCCAGGGAGGTGCCTTGCTGGGGTCCCTCAGGAAGCTGGGGTGCCCTCTGACCTGGGCTGCCTCTGGCTGCCTGCTGTACCAACGGTCCATTGGGTTGTGCCCGGCTGGCTCCGCAAAGACAGTCTCGGTGAAGAAGAATAAGGAGCCCACAGCACCTGTGTCCTGAGGCAGCCCAGACGGTGGGGGTGGAGTGGCCAGCGGGCGTGGGCGTGAGGTTGGGCCGGGTCTCCTAGAGCCCTGGGCAGTGAGGACCTTTGCTCACACTTGGACACCACCCAGGGGCCCTCGGTAACCTGAAGCTGTGTGAGTGTCCTCTCTGTGGCGCCCCAAAGCCATAGCTGTCTGGACCGTGCTTTGAAGCCCCCTTGAAGACAACCGCGTTTTCCCTCGGGCACTCACTTTTCTCCAAGGTGTACGTACATCTCCAAATCCTTCACCTCCTCCTAGGCACAGGCCAATCACATGATCCTAGAGTTGGAGCAGACAGTCTAGACCAATGGTGGGGAACCTGTGGCCTCGAGGCCACATGGGGCTTTCTCGGTCCTCAAGCCCGGCCCTTTGACAGAATCCAGACTTCACAGAAAAATCCCCTTCATAAAAGGATTTGTTCTGTAAAACTGGACTACGTCAAAAGGCTGTACCCGAGGACCTAGAGGGCCCCATGTGGCCTCGAGACTGCAGGTTCCCCATCCCTGGTCTAGGTCAGCCTGTACCCAAACAGGCATTCTCTCCACAAAGTCCTGGCTGCCGTCAGCCTGGGTTGTCCCATGATTCCTTTTCTCTCGACCTACTCCTGAGCTGCCAAATAGAACAGGAGATCACCCTCATGCTGCCATATCTCTCTGCTCAGAAAAATAAACCAACTCCTTTTGGACGAAGCTTCTTTTCAGGCTCTTTTGATCTGGTTATGGAATTTGATTTCTGTCTTTTAAATTTCTATGCAGAATTATTGTTGCTGATGCCTGTCCGTTCCTCCATTCATTTCCCATTTTTTGGCATCAAAACTTGCTTAAATAGGTCAGTGTTGGAGTTGTTTCATTGTACACTGTGCTTTTTTCATTTCTATCCTTTTCTCCATTCGGTGGCTTGCTTCTACATTTGCGTGTGGACTGTTGATTGGCTCCCACATCAGTAATGTGTTCTTTTGTGTCTGTTAAAATAGGATGCATTTGCTAGGAAGTGCCCAGGCACAACACATTTGTAAATGTCTCTTCTTTCCTCTCCTTGGTCTGCCGCAATTGAGCGGGCACTGAGGTGCCCTGCTGATTGTTTACTGGGAAAGGAAGAACTGTGCAAACAAGTTAGGGCAGTAAATCATTCATACAGTCAATCAAGCCTGGCTTGGGGGTATGGCAGTTGGTTTTGGGAACAAAGTGGGATGCTGGAGAACCTTTCTTACTCCTAATTCTAGTGCTTTCTCTCTGTTAATTATTTTCTGTTGATCCTGCGTAGAGCTAGTTTAGAGGTATTTATTTGCTGTCGCTCCTGTTAGATGGTAAGCTCCCCAAAGGCAAGGACTGTCTTGCCTCTTTTTGTATCCTCAGTGACTGGCACACAGTTGGTGCTTAATCAGTGTTCATCGGCTGGCTGCTTGATTTTGTGTAATGTCATTCCCCGTGCCAGTGCCTTCCCGTTCTGAGGCTTCTGAATAGACAAGTCTTTTCCCACCTTCATTCCTTATTCCTGAAAGGCGTTGTTCACTAGCCTTTTGATGAAAAGCATTGAGTATCAAAATATGTGCTTTAATGAAGGCATATTAATAAAGTGTTGCTTTCAAAACTACCCCGTTTGTTTGTACTTCCTTCTCTCTCCTGTGCATTTAAAAAATGTTTTAATTTGGTGTTGCTATTACAACCTTCACCTCTCACTGCAAACTGAGACAGGAAAAAAAACCAAACCCAAAGCCAAAACCTTTGTAACAGATGAGATCCCAAGCAAAACAACTCTATGCAGTGGCCGTGGTCACAGATGCCCGTCCCTGTTACCTGTCTGTCAGGAGGTGAGTAATGTGTCACCAAAGAGTCGCCGGAGATGTGGTGCCTCGTTGCATTTATGCAGGGTCTTAAATCTTTCATAGTTGTTTTTCTTTCTCTCTCATATTCTCTTTTTTTTGGCAAGGCAATCAGTTAAGTGACTTGCCTAGGGTCACACAGCAGTGAGTATCATGTGTCTGGGGCCAGATTTGAACTCAGGTCCTCCTGACTCCAGGGCCGGTGCTCTGTCCACTGCACCACCTAACTGCCCCCATAGTTGTTTTTCTTTTCAGTGTTGTTATCTTTGTAGAAACTACTCTCCTGGTTCTCTCTCCTTACTCCCACCTGCTGCCCACAAGGCAGAGACAAGCCAGCCAAGCTGAAGCTGCAGGACCACCTGAAGGAGAGGTGGGAGGCAGTAGGTTTCAGGAAAATCGGACCACCACCACCCTCCCGACCCCAACCTTCCCTCGGACCCTGATGGAGACACTCCAGGTGCTGAACTGAAATGCTCTGGGAATAGCATTGCTTCCAGCATGCTGCCCCAGCCGTCATCTTAGGAAGCAAATCCTGGGGAGATGCAGCTGGGTCCGGCTGGTGCTCCAGCCCCTGAAGACCCAGAAAGGAAAATTCTTGCTGCTAAAGTTCTTGGCCTTGTCAAATGCTTTAACATCAAGAAGCTGATGTGATTCTGTCAGTAGAAATGACATTAAGGAAAAGGCATTATTACTATCTGCTTTGCTGCTGCCCCGCCTAGGGACCATGGGACTTTCTGTCTAATGTGCAGCTGAAACCTTCCACAGCTGTTTTCTCCCCCATTAGAGTGGGAGCTCCGACTTTTTTGTGTCCCCAGTGTTTAGTACAGGGCTTTGTACACAGTAAGTGCTTAATAAATGCCTCATTCTTTCATTCATTTCTCACTTTGGTCTGCATCAGTTCATGCTACCCAGGATTCTTTGAAATGGTCTCTTGTCATTTCTTAGAGCACAATAATATTTCATGACATTCTTATATTGTGGTTGGGTTGGCCTTTCCCCAGTTGGTGATGCCCTGAGATCCTAGTTGTTTGCTTTCAGGATCACGTAGGTTATTTGGCTTGGCTCATATTCCTTCTAGTAACATAAGTCCCTGGAGACCCTCTGCAGATGTTAGGATTCTGAAGGGAGACTTGTTTATCCCCCTGTCAGAATGTTAGCACTGCAGCGTCATACAGGCCCTTCTAACAACTCAAATGAATTTACCTTTCCAGGTTTCTCGTGGATCTTGTGTTTGTATTTCAAAGTTGCTACTGATCTCTGATCTTTTCAGTAGGAATGCTTGAACGTCCCATATTCCATTAAAGTTGCATTTTATTTTTCTCCTATGTGATTACACTCAGCATTGCAGGTGAAATTAGTCTTAGTTTGCCTTTTGGAATGTGGCATTCCAAGATCTCCTCTTATTTATCACAGAAACTGTCAGATAGTGTGTGATTTTGATTGGTTCCTTGGTACTTGAGCTATTCCTTTCTAGTGGATTGCAGTATTTTTTTTTTCTGTGATGTAGGCGATCTTGAGTTTTGCTAGGACATTACTGTGATTTTTCTTTTTGGGGTTTCTGGAAGTGATTGGTAGATTCTTTATATCTTCACTTTGCCTTAATTTTTCATTTATGATTTCTTAAAATGCAGTGCCTATTAAAATATCATTTCATGGAATCCAATAATTCTTTTTTTTTTTTGGCTAGGCAATGGGGTTAAGTGACTTGCCCAGGGTCACACAGCTAGTAAGTGTTATGTGTCTGAGGCCGGATTTGAACTCAGGTCCTCCTGAATCTAAGGCCGGAGCTTATCCACTGCACCACCTAGCTGCCCTAATAATTCTTAAATTATTTCTCCTTGCCCTGTTTTCCCAGTCAACTATTTTTTATCTATTTTACATTTTCTTCTATTTTTTCAATCTTTTTATTTTGTTCTAACATTTCTTGCTGTCTCATGGAGTAAAACTGATTTCTTTGGTCTAGTCTAGTTTTAAGGGAGTCTTTTACTTTACTAAGCATTATCACTTGTTCTGTTAATCTGTTTATCCTCCTTCTAGTTCCTTCTTCTAGAGCTGGCGCTGCATTTTTTATCTCTTGCTTCATTTCTGCTAGGTGTTCATGGAGTTACTTGCTTCTTTTTCAGGATATCCAGATCTATAATAATGCTTTTTTATTATTAGTGCTTTCTTTATCTCATCTCTCCAAATTTAGTTCTGGAATGAGGCCTCCTTTCTTGCTGTGCTTTTGGATGGGATGGTCTCCCCTGCTTGGTCTGGCTCTGGGACCCTTGGATTCCTTCCCTGAGCCTCACCCTGGATCTTTAAGATTCAGAGTGGTTAGTGTGTTGGATACAAAGTCAAGAAGTCCTGAATTCAAATCTGGTTTCAGAGACTTCCTAGCAAAGTGACTCTGGGCAAATCACTTTACTTCTTTCTGCCTCAAAAACATGGATGATAATAGCACTGACTTCTCGGGTTATTGTGAGGGGAAAATTGAGATTATATTTGTAGAGTGCTTAGCACAGGGCTGGCACATAGTAAGTATTAAATAAATATTGTTTCTTCTCTCCCTCCCCAGCACTTTGTTCTAGGGACCTTGGAGTCCCTGGGCCTCCACCATCCCTGTGTGAGCACTGCAGCTCTGCTTTATGGTCTGCTTCTCCCAGGGCTTCCAAGGTACAAAGTTTTCTGATACCCTTGGATCTTTGGGGGACAGGAGGGGCAAACTATACTTTTGCTGCCTGTGTGGGGCTGCTGTTGATGTCAGCCCTCTTTCCCTTTGCCTGGGTCTTCTGGCCAATTTTTTATGCAGTTACGGAAGAAGTCACTGTAGCTTCTCATTGGATTTTTTGATTATTTTTTGGTCTGGTGCAAATTTCAGGTTTTTTCTGGAGTAGGGTATGTGGAAACTGGGTAGTTAGTCTTGTTTAGACAGCTATCTTGGCTGGAAGTCTGAACATATTCTTTAATTCTTTATAATGAAGGCATACTTTTAGCACATTGTACCTTTGATGAACAGACCATTTCTTGAACTTTAGTCTTGATTATAGCCAACTGATTTTCTTTAAAAAATAATTTCAGTTTCTAATTCTATCCCTTCGTCCAGCCACTCCCCTGCCCACTGAGAAGGCAAGAAAAATGATAGCCATTATGTATGTGACATCATGTGAGATATTTTTGCATTAACCAAAATAAAGTAAAAAACAGTAAGTTTCAATCTACACTCAAAGTCCCTAAGTTCTCTTTTTGAGGGAGGGTAGCATTCTTCATCATGAGTCCTTTGGAATTGTCTTGCATAATTGCATTGATTAGAGTAGCTGTGTCTTTCACAGTTGATCATCGATATAATATTGATGTTACTGTATACAATGTTCTTCTGGTTCTGCTGACTTCACTTTGCATGAGTTTATATGAGTCTTCCCAGGTTTTTCTTGAAACCTTCCTGCATGTCACTTCATATAGAACAATACTATTCCATCACAATCATACACCACAACTTGTGCAGCCATTTCCCAGTTGATAGGTATCCCCTCACTTTCCAATTCTTTGCTACTACAAAAAGAGTTGCTATAAGTATTTTTGTTCAAATAGGTCTTTTTCTTCTTTTTTTGTTCTCTTTGGGGTACCAGCCCAGTAGCAGGGTCAGAGGGTATGCATGGTTTTATAGCCCTTTGGCCATAGTTCCAAATTGTTCTCCTGAATGGTTGGATCAGTTCACAATTCCACCAGCAGTGCAATAGTGTCCCTATTTTTCCACTCCCTACTCCCACTCCCAGCATTTGTCATTTTCCTTTTCTGTCATGTTAGGCAATCTGATATAGGAGTGAGGTGGTACCTCAGAGTTGTTTTAATTTGCATTTCTCTAATTATGAGTGATTTAGAGCATTTTTTATGTGACTATCAATAGCTTTGATCTCTTCTTCTGAAAAGTGCCCATTTATATACTTTGACCGCTTGTCAATTGGGGAATGGCTGTTGTTTTTATAAATTTGGCTCAGTTCCCCTATATACTTGAGAAATGAGGCCTTTATCAGAGAAACTTGCTGTGAAATTTCCCGTTTCCTGCTTTCCTTCTAATTTCAGCTGTATTGGTTTTGCTTGTGCAAAGCCTTTTAAATTTAATGTGCTCAAAATGATCTATTTTACCTCCTATGATCTTCTCTATCTCTTGTTTGGTCATGAATTCTTCCCTTATCCATAGATCTGACGGGTAAAAATTTCCATGCTACCCTAATTTGCTTTTGATGTCACCCTTTATATCTAAATCATGTACCCATTTTGAGTTTATCGTGGTGTACAAGATGTTGGTCTATGCCTAGTTTCTGCTCGACTGCTTTCCAGTTTTCCCACCAGTTTTTGTTGAATAATGAGTTCTTGCCCCAAAAGTTTGTTTCTTAGGGTTTATCTACAGTGGGTTACTATGGTCATTTACCTCTGTATGTTATGTGCCTAATCTGTTCCATAGATGAATCTATTTTTTTTAGCCAGTACCAGATTGTTTTGATGATTACTGCTTTGTGGTATAGTTTGACATCTGTTACTGCGAGGCCACCTTCCTTTACTTTACATTGATTCCTTTGGTATTCTTGACTCATTAAAGATGGGAAACTGACTCAATTAGGTTTCATCTGGGGGAGGTCAGACATTCTTAGTCAGCCCAATATTTGGACTGTCTATGCACATGGTCTTTACTGTCCCAAAATAAAACTGTATCAAAATTACTGCTTGTCCCAAGGAACTAATAGAACACTGGCCTCTGGACTGAGTGCCTCAGTGTTTTGGGCACTTTTCTAAGATGATCAGTTCTAGGACAGTTGCAGACCTGCTCTGATAGAAGGAGTCTTCCCACTGGGGCTTCCCAATACCAATGAAATCAAGATTATGACAAAAAAGATGGTAATGAATCATGATTCTTTATGCCTGGTTATTTTCGTGCAGTGCTTAATATACAACTATGAACAGTCAGGCATTTGATAAAGACTTTTTGATGGTAATGATTACTAGATTTGAATGAATTTTTCTCTTTTTTTTCTAGTTGATTTCTTAGGGGTGAAAAGTAAGTGATCTACTTCAAGTCTTAAGATGTCCTTGAAGATATTCCTGGAAGATGGTTTTGTATGTGCACCAAGGGGATTATCCCTATTAAAAAATGTGGAGATTCCATTTGAAGAAAATGGCTTAGAACTGAGCAGATACTTTCCCAGGGTTTTCCAGCACCTGAGCAGGAAGAATGGCTTTACCAGACTCTGTAACAGTAAAAAGTCACTAACGGGTAATTATCTCTTTGGATTTCTTTGGGAAATTGTATACTTGCTAATTAGAAACTTTCAATTTTACTTATTCTTTTAATTTTCTGTTATATGTTTTTATTTATTATTTTAAAAAAACATATTTGAGAAAGAAAGAGAATTCAATTGTGGAAGAACTTTTCAGTTTCATGTGCATTCTTTTTTATGATCTTTGTATATTGAAATATTGGTGCTTGTTAAATTTGGGGAAAAAAAAGAAAATCTATTACTGTAACCCTTTGGTTACTTGGTTTGTGTCCCTGAGGCGGTTTTGTGAAAGATCACCTGGGTCCATCGTAATTTTGTGCTCAGAAGGAAGCTTGTGCCTCCATGTAGGGAGAGAAAACTCCATGGGATGATATCTCAGCTAAGCTGGGTGACTGGTGGGTGACTCCCAGAGAACACATGTGCCCTCATGCTGAAAAAAGGACAGGGCCAACTAGATAATATTAAATCCATCAGATGGAGTCCTGGACAAAATTAAAATAACAGAAGGGCAGTGAGGCAGGGGCAGAGGCAGCATCCCCAGCCCCTCTCAGCTCTCAGCTCCCGGGGTAGCAGCCCACAGTAACAAGCAGGGCCCCATCCCTCCCCGTCTGCCCATCTGGCCCTTGCTTCTCTTGCTCCCAAGTATGAGAATTGCAGCTGCCAAGGTTGTGGTGCTGCTGCGAGGGGGGCCGCTTTCCCCTTCTTCCTTCCTGTCTGCTGCTAAGAGCTCCTCCAAAACCCTGCCTGGAGGCCGGTCCTGGTCTTCTGTTAGCTTGCTCTCTTCCCAGGCTGGTCATCCAAAGCCTGGCCAGGACCTGGGCTGTGAAGAAGGAACTTAGTTCAGGCATCACAGAGGCTTTAGGCGTTGGGTGTGTGTTCAGGTATTTTGTTGGGACCACGGAAACTGGACCCGAACGTGAAGCGGGGCTCCTTGTTGTTGTATACAGTGTCCTGTGTAAAGAGGGTCTGTGCACACCTGTGGACTGGCAGGGACTGTCTGGCCTTTTTGTGTTCCCAGGGCTTGCCACAGTACCTGGCACAGAGGAAGTGCTTAATAAATGTTTAGTGATTGACCAACTGTTATCTAGTGTGTGCTCATCATGGAGAATACAAGACAGGCAAACAGCCCCTGCCTCCAGGAACTCCCATTCTAATGGAGGAGATGGCCTGCCAACAGCCAAGTAGGCACAAGATATCGGCAGGGCAAATGCAAGCAGTCTTGGGGGGAAGGCAGTGGGATTCTGGGGGGTCCTCCCCATGCCTTAGGAAGGCCGCTTTGGCAGATGAGTGGAAGATGGATCAGAGGGAGGAAAGATGAGTCCGAGAGAGCAGCCTGAAGGCTTTTCCAGTAGTGAAAGCCTACACCTTCACGTGTAGGTGGTGTGGTGGCTGTGTGCGAGGAGGGGAGAGTACAGATAATAGAGATGTGGCCTTGTCCACATCAGACATGTGGGCTACGTGAAAGAGAACTTGATGATGGCACCTTCCCTGGGAGCTGCGGCTGCTGGTGGGTTTTTTGGAGAAAGACAGTGACTTCAGTTTCAGATATAATGAGCTTAAAATGTCTGTGTTTGAGTTGTCCAGGGGGTATTTGGAGATGTAAGACTGAAGGTCAAGAAAATGGTTAGGGCTGGATAAAGAGATCCTAGAATCATTTACATCAAGATGATAGTTGAACTCATGGGAGCTGATGATATCACCAACTGAGACAGTATAGAGGGAGAAGGAAAAGGGGTCCCAGGACAGAGCCTTGGGGGACACCCGTGGTCAATGGGCATGATTTAGATAAAGAACATGCAAAAGAGCCTGAAACAGTCAGATAGATAGGACAAGAAACAGGAGAGACCCTGAGACGAGGGAGGATTAAGGAGAAAAGGATGGTTAAGAGAAGTCAAAGATGATGAACGAGAGAAGGCCATTAGATCTGGCAATTAAGAGATCACTGGGAGGTAGTCAAGATAGTAGCTAGGTGGCACAGTGGATGGAGAGCCAGGCCTGGAGTCAGGAAGACCTGAGTTCAAATCTGGCCTCAGACACTTAATAGTTGTGTGACCCTGGGCAAGTCACTCAACCCTGTTTGCCTCAGTTTCCCTATCTGTAAAAATGAGCCGGAGAAGAAAATGACAAACCACTCCAGTATCTTTGCCAAGAAAACCTCAAATGGGGTCAAAAAGAGTCAGACACGACTGAAAAATGATTCAACAACAACAATATGGTAGAGTAGCAGGAAGTAATATAGCTCAATTTCGCTACCCAACCTCCTCCACAAAGATCTATGATGAATTCTGATCAAGAAACCCAGGAAAAAGTCACAGTGAGTTGTTTTTCCAATCCATGGAGACTTAGGGAGTCAGAGAAGTATGTGGACACCGGGGACAGGGTCATGCCATATGAGAGAGCTGAGACAGGGCTCTGTGGCTGGAAGAGATCCCAGGGGATCCCTGACCTAGCCCAGGGTGCTGGACCGGTGCCATTTACACAGTTGTGGGTCAGAGTGAGGGAAGGGATCTGCACGAAGGGTCTGTGGAAAGAAGTGTTTGCTAGTAGGCCCTGCCTGTTTATTGAGCAGGGAACGAAAACAGCTTTTACAGTGGAGGGGGAGAAAGTGGAGGTAAGAGGGAATGAGCGAATCTTACTGTCGTCAGATTTGGCTTAACGAGGGAATAAAATACACACTCAGCTGGGTTTGGAGATCTGTGTTACCCTACAGGAAAACAGGGGGGAAGGGGACAAGAGTGGGGGGGCGATAGAAGGGAGGGGGTAATCAGAAGCAAGCACTTCTGAGGAGGAACAGGGTCAAAGGAGAGAATAGAACAAATGGGGGCAGGACAGGATGGAGGGAAATAGAGTCAGCCATTCACAGCACGACTGTTATGGAAGTGTTTGGCATGTCTACACACGTATAACCTGTATCTAATTGCTTGTCTTCTCAATGAGGGTGGGTGGGGAGGGAGGGAGGGAGAGAATTTGGAACTCAAAGCTTTAAAAATGAATGTTAGAAATTGTTTTTACATGCAACTGGGAAAAAAGATATACAGGCAATGGGGTATAGAAACCTATCCTGTCCTGCAGGAAAATAGAAGGGGAAGGGGATAAGGGAAGGGGGTGGTAGTGATAGAAGGAGGGCAGATTGGGGGAAGGGGTGTTCAGAATGCACGCCATCTTGGGGTTGGGGGAGGGGAGAGATGGGGAGAAAATTTGGAACTCAAAATCCTGTGGAAGTGAAAGTTGGAAACTAAAAATAAATAAATTAATTTTTAAAATGGTACAGAACCAATCTTGATTATTTCAAAAGCAAGAGTTAAAAAGAGAAAAAGAAATAAAAATGGTTTAAAAAACCGGTTGAGAACTGTAGAAGAAAAAATGGGAAAGGAAATGAGAACTATAGAAGAACGACATGAGAAGGAAATTAACAGCTGGGAGTAAAAGTCAGGTACAAAACCTTACTTGAGATAATAACTCCCTGAAAATTAGAATTGTCCAAATAGAAGCTCATGATTCCATGACACATTAAGAAATATTAAAACAAAGTCAAAAGACTGAAAAAAAATAGAAGAAAACATGAGGCAGTTTATAGCAGAATCACTGACCTAGAACAGATTGAGAAGGGAGATAATTTAAGAATCATTGGATGAGGGGCATCGAGGGGGCACAGTGGGTAGAGCACCGGCCCTAGAGTCAGGAGGACCTGAGTTCAGACACTTGACATTTACTAGCCGCGTGACCCTGGACAAGTCACTTAACCCTAATTCCTTGCCCCGCCCCCCCCAAATCATTGGATGACCTGAAAGCCCTGATCAAAAAAAAAGAGCTAGACATCGTATTTCAAGAAATCATAAAAGAAAACTGCCCAGATCTCTTAGAATCAGGTGGAATAAGAAGGAGGATAGATGAAGGGAGGGATTACTCAGAAACAAAACAAACTCTTAAAGAGAAGTCAGGAAAAAGGAAAAGAAAAATATAAGAGAAAAGTATGGCGGCAAATACTCGATTAGGGATCATAGCTGGTAATGGAATGAAGCCACCTATCAAACAGAAGAGTGTGGCAGACCAGATCAGAAACTAGAATCCAATAATATATTGTCCATAGAAAACATAATTAAAACCAAAAGATACACACTTCAGCTAAAGTTAAAAAAAAAAGGCAAGGATAACAATCGTGATCTCAGACAAAACACCACCAAAAATAGACCTAAACAAGGAAACTACATTTTGCTTAATGGCATTATAATCAGTGAATTAATATCAGTACTAAACAGATATACACCAAATGCATAGTATTAAATTTTTAAAGGCAAAGTTAAATGGATTATAGGGAAAAATCGACAATAAGACTGTAATAGTGGGGGACCTCAATTTACCACTCTGAGACATAGATAAATCTAACCAAAAACATTTTAAAAATAAAGGACCTGAATGAATTTTAGAAAAGTTAGATATGATAAACCTTTGGTAATTAAATGAGTACAGAAAGGAGTATATCTATTTCTCAGCTGTACATGGCATCTTTACAAAACCTGACCATGTATTTGAGCATAAAAACCTCAAAAATAAGTGCAGAAAAGCAGAAATATTAAATGCATGTTTTGCCAACTATAATGCAATAAAAATTACATTATAAAGGACTTTTGAAATAAAGAAAAAACATTGATTGGAAACAATCCTAAAGAATAGGTGGGTTAAATCATAGAACAGATCATAGAAGAAATTAATAATTTCATTAAAGATGATAACAATGAGACAACATGCCAAAATTTTGAGGACTTAGGGGGAAAAATCATTGGTAACTTTGGAGAGCAGTTTTAGTTGAATGAGCCTGACAGAATATAGAGAATTAAGAATGTGAGAGTTTGTTTATAACGAGACTCTTTCTTGCTCTTCCTGAAAGCGTCCCATTTAGGGGAATCTTTCTTTTAAGTAAGTTTTTATTTCTGTTTTCTGTTTCTTATATCACATAGTTATCCCAATTATCTTTCCCTCTTCCCCTCCTAGAGCA